GTGTTTCTAGCTGCCATTTTTGACTCTGTTTAGTAATATCTTGTAAAAAACAAATAGGACTATTTTTAACCCATTTGGTGGTTTTCGAATATATTCTCTTCGAGAAAATTTGACGAAATAATCTTAAAATAAGCTTAAAAATCTGCTTGAACTTTCAAAAAAGGAAAAAATTATATCATGTTGGGCCTAATTCTGTGTTTTTTCGCCTTGTTTTTAACCAATTTTGCAATATAATTTGTGAAAAACACGCTAAAATTCTCAAGAAATGCAAAATTAATTTTCAACTTGATAAGTTGATTGTTCCGTTCGTTTTAGCAAAATCTCGCGAAAAACCCGAGATTGTAATACAAAAACGTACTTAAAAACATTCTCGGATTATTGTTGTCTTATTTTGTTCAAAACCAATTAAATTGAGTGAAACAAACAAAATAACATCAATATCAATTGTTTTTGTGATTTTGAAACATGTTTGGACAAGGTTTTGCAAAATAAATAAGCCTCTAGTTCAAAAACGAAGTAAGTTCAGCGAAACAAGAAAAAATAATATCAATTTCGATTTAATTTTGCGATTTTTTGGCCTGCTTCTTTTTAGAATTTTCTTTGTTCTTAAAAGGGTAAAAATAACGCCGTTTTTGGTCAAATTTGTTAAATTTTTGAATTGTTTGTAACGAAACTTTACGATGTAATTGTGTTTCTAGCTGAAAAAGTATTCGAAAAAAACAACATTTTCGATTCTGTCTAGTAAAATCTTGTAAAAAAACAAACAGAACTATCTTTAACCAATTTCGTGATTTTTTTTTTGAAAAAACTTGACAAAATAATGAAGTTTTTGGTTAGAAACGTAGAAAATGCTCGAAAAACTGGTTTTTTTTAATCTACAAAAAATCACCAGATATTAGAATTTTTACAAAAGTTTTCACCAAATCACCAGACTAACACTGACAAGAGGTCAAAAATACCACTTTCACAAAAAAAATTCCCTAATCCTTTGAGTGGATTAGAAATGACCCCAATGACCTTSGTTTCAGAGCACGGATCCGGAGCCGGTTAAAAGATCCGAGTTAAAAAATTTGCCAAATTTTTACTACGAGTAGATTACGATTTATATGGCAAAATCTCGCAAAAAACACCATTTTTAGCCTAAAAATCTGCTTAAAATCTTGAAATAAGCAAAAAATGACATGTTTTTAGGCCTAATTTTGTGATTTTTCGGCTTGTTTTCAACAATATTTTGCAAAATAATTGCCTTTCTAACTAAAAAACGTACTAAAACGAGAAAATTTGACGAAATAATCAAGTAAAGCCTAAGAGTTAGATAATATAATCTTTTTTATAAAAATTTAGTGATTTTTGACACGCTATGGC